TTGTCGATGTTCTTGTTGAATGGTGAATGCTTGAATAATAGCTGGCTTCTATGTTGTAAGATCAAATTTCTTTTTTGATACTATCACAAACGGAGTATCGTGAAAGACTGTGTTCCACAAGTAACAATAATGAATTTCTGATGAAGCAACATCCCACAGAGGCGTTGCTAGGTAACGTAACGTAAAAACCTCCTTCAGTCATTTTTCCCCCCCTTTATTAGAGGTCTTGAACTGGAAACGCTTTAACCCAACTGTTAAATTTTTCAGGCCATCCTCTCCATTTCACCAAGAAATAGTCATGCCTTCCCCAGCCTTTCTTCGTTAGAATCTTTTCTACCCTGTAAACGTGGTCCTGGTTAGGGTTTACTTTTTGTAGTTCTTCGGGGTAAAATGCGTACACAGGCCACTGTCCTCATAATAAAACCCAAGACACAATAAATATTTCATCGGTAAAGGTTTGCTGATATCCCTTTTCAAAAATACCCTTCGTTTTAGATACCCTTACGTGATCCCCCTTCTTAAAAATCACTCGCAGTGCCGTTATTTTAAAACTATCCCCGTAGACGGTTTTCCATATGCTCAGCATCTTAGCGTGTGTCACGTCGATTGGGCGTCCTCTGACAGTTCTGATAACTTCTGTTGTAACGGTCTATGAAGGCCTGCAGCACATTGATGTATCAAAAGGTGCTACGGGCGGTAAAATACCTCCACATCTTTGATTTTAGAAGAAATACATCTAATCTGGTGAAATGCTTCTGAGCGACCCCAAGAAATACAAGAGCGACTAAGTGGATTGGGAGCGTCTACTGCGCAGGGTGTACAGTTTTCAAAAAAGCAAATAGGTTTTACTACAACAACCCTAATAATGTTGGCCATAATGTCATCTTCACAGCTCTGCTGAACACCCTCCTTATTTTTTACAGTCTTTTTTTAAAAATCTTGCTTCATGCAAAAACAGCAGGTGCATATCACAGTTATTCTTATCAAAGGCCGTCTCTCTTTTTCCTCTTCATCCTCTGAAGATGTCTGTCAAAAGCAGAGAAAAAAAGCATGTTTTAAATTCTTTGTTGCAATCATTTAAAAATAAAAAAATAAAAAAATAAAAAAAGGCAAACAATGTACTCATGCTATCTCAATCATACCCGCGTCTGATTCTGAATCATCATCATCATCCCCAGTGGTCATGCCATCAGGAACCGTATCAGCCTCCTGTTATTAAGCACAAACATATAGCCAAGTTTAACTTAGAGTATTATATATACTCTATATATATATATATATATAATATTATATATACTCTATATACTCTAGAGTATTATATATACTCTCTCTCTATATATATATATATATAATATTCTAAGTTGTTTTTGCCTCCTCATGTTCTTTTAGTTCTACATTTGACGTCCACTCACTACACACCCGTGCTGTGTTGTTTGTTTCTGAGTCACCCCCGGTGGGCGCTCCATTGGTAATCGTTTCAGTAACCTGTTATTAAGCACAAACGTATAGTAGCGTTTAACCCCTGCCTTACATAGATATATTTCTTTTCTTTCAAAGAATTTAAGTTGCTTTTACCTTGTCATGCTTTTCTGGCTCTGCATCTGTCAGCCACTCGTCACACACCAGCGCGATGATCCTGTATGGCCCTGGCTTGGTTATCTGCCCAAAGAACAAAATAATTAATTTTAAGCACATAAATATAATAATTTTTTCACAACTAGTAAAACTTTCACTTGCTTTTACCGTAACAATGTCGCCCTCTTTCCATGACCCGGGGTCTATCGGTTGGTTCTCGACATCACTATCCTGTGACGACCTCTCGGCTGCCATGTCCTTGTATACAGACTCTTCTTCCATTCCTACCTATAAAAAACAAATATATTTAACCATAAATATTTATCAAAAGTGTGTAATTTTTCATCAATTTGTTCTAAAGAGTGCCTTACCTCCACCTTCAAGTCTGCTTCCTCCAAAGCCGGCAACAGATTTTTTCACATATTATCCTTTTTCTCTTTTACAACTGGCAGTGCCCCCATAAAGTCTTCCTGTTTCTTTGGTTCAATTTCAGGATGAAACACGGGGTTCAGCACCGGGGCTGCCTCTTTAGCAAAATAAGTGTAAATGGGTCATCTCTTCTGAACATGAGCTGGGGCACCCATAGGCAATTCAGGCTTCTTGGCATCTGTAGGCATCTTGTAAAAGGACATGGCTATTGTGTCTAAGCTCCCGGTTTTAAAACCACAGTTCAAAAAAATATGTGGTTTTATACATACGGTCAAATGCTCATTGGCTAGAGATTTTCAAATAATCCACTCCATGATAGCCCATTTATGAAAAGCTCTTGTTTTAAAATCATGGTATGAAAGGATTGGTTCAAAAAGGGCATTCTGTGATGGAGCGGTAAAATAGCTTCTGATTGGTACACCGAGAAGCGGGAATAGTTCCCAAGGTTCACCGCCCAGAACAGCTATCATTTCACTACCAGCAGTCACTGGGGTAGGATGTTTCACTCTGCACGTGTTCAGTAACACAGACTCTCTTATTGCTTTATTTTTTTTTTTATTCTCTAAAACCATTTTTTCTTTGCCATGTGCTTATTTTTCCTCTCTTTCTATTCTTTAAAAATAATCTCTCCTTACTAAACCTAACCAAACAATCTTTCTTCTGTTTAATAACATTTTTTTTCCTTTTTTCCGCTAAACCTAACCAAAGCTTTCTTTTTTTAATCTTTAAGCTCTCTCACTCTATTCTTTCAACCTTTTTCTCTAAACAATCAACCAAATGTATCAAAGCACAAGCACGTAACAATCCCCCTATTCAAACATAAAAAATAGTGAAAACTTTTTTTTCAAAATGGCCGATGGCACCAAACCTCGACACCAACAGAAACGGGAACGGAGGGTGGGATATAAGCCCTAAACAGGGTATAGAAACCTGTCAAAAATACATGGTGATGAATGCTATTGAACAGTATATTACTTAGGGACAGCTGAGGGTGTGGGGTGAGAAGGGTCGGTTGTACTGTATAATGGGCACTAAGAGCAGCAGATGGTGGGGGTGAGGAAGGGGCAGCTACACTGTATAATGGGCACTAGGGGCAGCACAAAGTGGGGTGGGGAAGGGGTGGCTATATTGTACAATGGATACTAGGGGAAGCAGAGGGTGGGGGGGCGGGAAAGTGGTGGCTATACTGTATTATGGGCACCAGCAGCAGGAAAGGTTGAGGGGAGGGGAAGGGGTGGCTATACTGTATAATGGGCACTAGGGGCAGCAGAGCCTGGGGGAAGGGAAGGGGTGGCTAAAGTGTATAATAGGCACTAGGGGCAGCAGAGGGTGAGGGCGAGGAAGGGATGGCTAGAGTGTAATGGTTAGTAGGGGCAGCAGAGTGTGGGGGGAAGGGGCAGCTATACTGTATAATGGGCACTGAGGTAGCAGAGAATGGGGGTGAAGAAGGGGAGTTTATACTATATAATGGGCACTAGTGGCATCAGAGGGTGGGGGTGGGGAAGGGGCGGTTAGATGGTATAAGGGGGGCTGGGGGCAGCAGGGGGGGGGGGGTCATGAAGGAGCAGCTATACTGTATAATGGTCACTAGGGTAATGGCCCAAGAAACCTGACATATTAGCCATTATACAAGCAGTGATTTCCCCAAAAATATAAACACAATTGTTTTCCCAACTTAGTGAATCAATGAAGATGTGCTTGCGAGGGGTACTGACCCAGTATCCCAGACAAACCCCCCAAAATTTAACCCTTCTTACTAGATGGAGCCAGCAGCAATCTTGGCCAGGTTCAATATCTAGGGGTTCCTTTCCATTGATACAACGCAGAACTCGAGCCCCCACCTAGAAACCTGGGAAATTTACACACCACCCCTGGGTGCCTCTGATAGGCAATACTTCCCCACTCACAAGCACAGAGTCTGAGTGTAGAAAAGAAACTTTTGATAAAAGGAGAGAAGTAACTTGGTGTTAATTGGGGAAAACACCATAAACAGGGTTCATAAACATAAACCATGAGTAAAAGACCCACCCCCAAGTAGGTTGGGCAGTGTCCTTTTCCCCTCAGGTTCTTAAATCCAGCAACCCAAAAGTCCCCTTCACATGCCCAACCCTTCTCTGCACCCCACTCACAGTTGCTGTCCTGGATCAGTGCAGACCCAAAGTTCAGAGGTGCAGGGCCGGCTTTAGCAAGAGCGGGGCCCGATTCCTGGGGGCGGGGCTTGCTGCAAGCCCCGCCCCCAGTAATCGAGCCGCGCTCCGGCCGGGGTTGCCGGGCTTGGGTCCGGCCCAGAGCCGCGCCGCGGGGGCCGG